GGTCCTGTTTGCTCCCCCCCGCCTGCCACTGGGGCTGCATATCGGCCCATCGGGGGCCCCAGCAGTGCCTGTGCCAGCAGGAGCCCTTCAGTAGCACCTCAGCCCCGGGGACGGGCGGCTCGCACAGTGAATGGGGCGACCCACGGGAGGCACAGCCCCACAAGCAGCTGCACGTGCCTCTGCGCAGTCCCCGCTGCTCTGGGGTGCAGCACAGGGAGGGGGGGCACCAGGCTGGCAGGCAAACACCCTGGGGCTATTGACGCCACATCAATCCTGCAGCCCCGACAGGTGAATGGGCTCTCACTCACACCGTTAAGATAAATGATATTTATTTGCTGCTAATAGGTTCCAACAAGAGGCCCCAACAAGTGACTTTTGAACCAGTACCTCTTGCCGCAGGTGCACGCCCAAACTGGGGAAAACCCTGGCAAACATCCCCAAGGCTGCCCCATTCCTGTGGGCTCTTCTGCCCCACACACAGCACCACAGCCATGGCCCCTTCCCCGGCCTGGCACACAGACCCTGCCCTGTATGTGCTGTCCCAGCCCCTTTTCCAACCTCACAAGGGCACCCCAGGATCACACATCCATGAAGCAAGTGCTGGGACTTGGCTGGGGCTGGGACTTTTATTTCATCAACGTCAACAGCACGACTGCACCTGAGGCTGCCTGTGTGTGCTGCTTCCAGCCCCTCCAGCTGCCATCCCAGGGCAGGAGCCACCAGGAGGGAGGTGGCAGCCCCCTATCTCCACAGCCAGGTATCCACTGGGGGACCATGTCCCCTGGCAGGGAGCAGGAGGCCAGGCCAGGCTCCCCAAGGCCCAGAGGGGCTCAGCCGCTGTGGGTGCCCAAGCCTAGCACTGAGAAGGCCGCACGGTGCTTCCTCAGCAGCAATCGGATCTTCTCATCATCCGAGTCAGGGTCCAGGGGTTTGTTGTACTCGTCATCCTCGGTCTCAGAGGCTGCCCGCTCTCCACCAGAGCCCCCCACCTGCTGCGAGGATGAGGAGGGCTCCAGGGCACTCTTCTTCCTCCATTTGGTCCGTCGGTTCTGGAACCAGACCTGCCACCCCAGGGGCCCAGCTAGGTTAGCAGGCGCTACGCCACGCACCCCCATGCCACACTGGGACTGATACTCACCTTCACCTGGGACTCAGTCATGCCAAGGGAATAGGCCAGCCGTGCTCTCTCTGGACCTGCCAGGTACTTGGTCTGCTCAAAAGTCTTCTCCAAAGCGAAGATCTGGTGGCCCGTGAAGGTTGGTCGCGTGTGCTTCTTCTTTTGAATACTGTCGGCCAGGTGAGCAGGGGCTGTGGGAGAGGAGGAGGGAGGGAGGAGGGTGAGCAGTGCACGGCTCTGGGCAGCTCTCCCCTTCCTCATCACAGCACCAGCACACTCTCGCCGACAAAATCCCTCCACACCAGCTCCCCTCCAAATTAAAATCACATTCTGGCTTCAGCCCCATCCCAGGAGGGCTGAGTTGCCCATAGAGCCAGAGCCAGAGCCAGGCTGTACACCTCCTGATCAGGACAGCAGTAATTTGTTGTGCTGAGGCGTGGAAGGGTAATTCACAGCAGTGCACAACCCCAGACCCACGTAGCCCTGGGAACACCATGCCCCACATCTTGCAGGAAGCACCACAGGAAGGCAGGCAGAACTGGTCAGCTTCTATCTGTGCTGGGAGCAGATGGCTCCAGGGGCAAGACAGCGGGAGATGGGAAAGGGGTCACAGCTGCAGGTGCTGAGCAGCAGCACCCAGCCCAGAGCAACCCAGGGTTCCCTACGGGATGGGGGGTTGAACCCATCCCACCCATTCTGGCACGGCAGCAACATGCTCTGCAATCCCCCCCTCTCCAGCAGGCAGGCAGTGCTGCCAGCCCAGGGCCAGCCATCCTGCCTGTCCCTGCCCTGAGCTGGGAACTGACCCATCTGGCTGCCTGAGGGAAGGGTCTGCCTGTGCCTGCGAGCTGTGGCTTGCCTGGGGGCTGAGCAAAGAGTTAATCTCACACTACAAAAACAAAATCCCTCCACACCAGCTCCCCTCCAAATTAAAATCACATTCTGGCTTCAGCCCCATCCCAGGAGGGCTGAGTTGCCCATAGAGCCAGAGCCAGGCTGTACACCTCCTGATCAGGACAGCAGTAATTTGTTGTGCTGAGGCGTGGAAGGGTAATTCACAGCAGTGCACAACCCCAGACCCACGTAGCCCTGGGAACACCATGCCCCACATCTTGCAGGAAGCACCACAGGAAGGCAGGCAGAACTGGTCAGCTTCTATCTGTGCTGGGAGCAGATGGCTCCAGGGGCAAGACAGCGGGAGATGGGAAAGGGGTCACAGCTGCAGGTGCTGAGCAGCAGCACCCAGCCCAGAGCAACCCAGGGTTCCCTACGGGATGGGGGGTTGAACCCATCCCACCCATTCTGGCACGGCAGCAACATGCTCTGCAATCCCCCCCTCTCCAGCAGGCAGGCAGTGCTGCCAGCCCAGCCCCAGCCATCCTGCCTGTCCCTGCCCTGAGCTGGGAACTGACCCATCTGGCTGCCTGAGGGAAGGGTCTGCCTGTGCCTGCGAGCTGTGGCTTGCCTGGGGGCTGAGCAAAGAGTTAATCTGTGCCATTGGGGCTGCCCCTGCTCTTGAGCCAAAACCTCTGCAACAGGCTGAGGTCTGGCAGCTCTGGCACCGGGGCCATTCC